TTTAGTGGGTCGGGCTGGTAGTAGGTCGCCAGTGTATTAAATTTAATTTTTTATAGATTTATTTTTCTTTTTTTTTATTTTCTTTTGTTTGATCATACCAACCCCACATAACCTTGGAGCGCTGAATCCAAGGTATCTGTAGGCAGATTTCCCATAAGTCCCTAAGCAAAAAAAATAATAATAATAATAATAATAATAGATTAATAATAATAAGCTAGTACATAGAATTTTGTAAGTATTTTTTATTCATATTTTTTTATAAAATTTACACGGTAAATAAAAGGTTCTAAATTGGAGCTTATTTTCGGTATTAAAATAAAACCAAATGACGATTTAGTACCCAAAATTAGTTTTAAATTAGTACCGTTCTTTCTACAGTGTAGGCAATAACATGTTTAATGTAATTAAAACAAACTATGAATTATAAATTATTGTGCAAGCTTACGCTGAAACTTTGCAGCAACATTACAGAACAATGTTGCGTCAATATTACAAGGAAGGCAACATTACACGTCAATATTGACGCAACATTCCCAAGTAACCTTACAATAATAATAATAATAATAATAATAATAATAATAATAATAATAATAATAATAATAATAATAATAATAATAATAATAGATTAATAATAATAATAAGCTAGGACATAGAATTTTGTAAGTATTTTTTTATTCATATTTTTCATAAAATTTACACGGTAAATAAAAGGTTCTAAATTAGAGCTTATTTTCGGTATTAAAATAGAACCAAATGACGATTTAGTACCCAAAATTAGTTTTAAATTAGTACCGTTCTTTCTACAGTGTAGGCAATAACATGTTTAATGTAATTAAAACAAACTATGAATTATAAATTATTGTGCAAGCTTACTCTGAAACTTTGCAGCAACATTACAGAGCAATGTTGCGTAAATATTACAAGGAAGGCAACATTAAACGTCAATATTGACGCAACATTCCCAAGTATCCTTACAATAATATTGCACGATAACGTTGCCGAAATGTTGCAGAGGTGGGACACATTAAGCTTACAATAACATTGCGGCAACATTGCCGCAAGGTTACGTGTTATGTGTGTTGTTTATAGTGCGAGATCAATGTTTATTTTAGGAAGACTTAACATTATTTCTAGGGGCAGAAGCAGTTAACACATCGCCTATATAATAATTAATCAAACCGTTACGAAACAATTAGTGAAAATAACAGAATATGAAGAATAGAATAATCAAAAACAGAATATAAAGCTTATGTGAATACTTGGAAACACTGACTATGTTAGTATTCCTAAACAAACGAACGAAACTAAGGGTTAATTATGTAATTTGATTTGACTTTGCCTTTGACTGGTATTTAATTTTTTTCATCTGGCATGTGGTTTTTTAGCGACAGTTTGTATTATTTTGACCTTTTTCGTGTTGTGGCACCTAATTTCACCGAGTGTCGAATAAAACCTCCATGGAATTTGCTGCTGAAAATTATGGCGAATTTACGAATTACAGGATGTGGGATTGCAGTCTACGAAGAATTCAAATCAGTTGTGACGTCACATTCCACGAAGAAATAGAACAAAATTCTACATATGAAAACAAACACAAACAAGTTTCGATATATTTTGAGTTCCGAAGTTACACTCAGCCAGGTGAAGAAGTTGAAGAAGTTAGATTCAAGTTAGCTGAGTCAACAAACGAAAGTATTGATGAATTGGAAATTCATCCCAGTCTTTCCCAGTCAGAAATGAAAGATCTAATTGACGTCTTATACATATCTATCTATGTGGAATCTAAATCGAGATTTATATAGGTGTCAAAATAGGACTCTACAAGACGACTTTTGACGTTGAAATTGTTGTCTATTAGACGTCCACTGCGCAGAATTCGGCTGCACATTCGCAAAAGACTATCATTAGCTCTATTCGACATCTTAGATGCTAAGTAGATGTCTAATCGCTATCTACACAGAGAGAAATGTGCTACGAATAACGCACGAGACATGTTGGTTCGCTTTTCGCATAGACGTCTGTACCTAATTTTGCAAAGGCCGGTGCTAACTTTGCTCAGCTTGTGCCCACTTGTGCCACAGTTGCTCAAATCCATGAAAAATCAGCATGGATTTATTGCAACTTACGCATGGTAGTGTGTATGCGTTGGTGCGCACCATCAGGAAATGAGAGGTTCAATGGATGGTTTAGACAATCTTTCCGATCCACAGTGGTCCAGATCGCCAGAAACCTGGCCAAAAGTCGAAGAAATGAATAAATCTTTCAAAAGAAAGATTTATTTGGGGTTTTTGGGGTCTCTGATTTCGAATTTGATATTATTTTTCAAAAAAACAAAATGGCGGATCTAATATGACGGACATAAAGTACAAGAAATAATTTAATTTTTATAGAAATTTGTGCTAGGGGGTTTTTGAGGTCTCTGACTTTGAATTTGATATTATTTATCAAAAAATCAAAATGGCGAATCCAATATGACAGACATAATGTACAAGAAATAATTTAATTTTTATAAAAACTAGCGCAGTCGACGGCCGCAAGCGGCGGTCTCCTTTGCTATTATGCTATTTCTCAATTCAGTTCTCTGCCTGATTTTTAGTTAATTACAATTTTTCTTTGTATATTTGATTTACAATAACCATTTCTACATTTACTTTGCTACTTAATTTTTAATTAATTATAATTCTTATTCATTCTTGATTGATTAAAAATTAAATAAAAATAATTTAAATTTTAGTAGTTTGAATAATGGGCCGTCCATAGATTACACAGCCACACAAAAAAAATAAAGTGTCTTGATCCGGGGTCGAGACATATGTATTCCGATGTATTTCGATGCGCTGAATCCAAATCCACTATCAGAATTTAGCCAATGGGTCCTGGTTTCACCCTAACCTCAAAAAATACCCTAAAATCGTTAAAATAGTCACTTTTGAATTATGAAAATTGAATCTAACCGCATATTGATAATTTTCTAAGATCCCTTAATTTAAATAAACAATTCTATAAGCTTTTCAATTGAAAATTCATATAAAACATTAAATGTATCGAACCTAACCTCAAAAACACATCTAAGATTCCAAACAAACAAATTATACCATACACAGCGCAATAAAAAATAGGTAAGCTCATGAAAGTTACAACTTAGGTGTTTCTATGACTGCTGATTCCAAAGCGGGTGTTAGTTTATCAAAATTCAAAATGGCGGATCAAATTTGGCGAACAATATAAATAAAATTTGTTTCGATTGGCTTGAAAATCGTTACTTGGGGGTTTTCGGGGTCGCTGATGATGAATCCCATGACGGTTTCTAAAAATTCAAAATGGCGGTACAAATATGGCGGTCTCTATTATTTTAACGATTTTTTAAATTTATTACTCGCGGTTTTTCGGGACCTTTGATAACGAATTGTATATCAATTTTTATAATCCTAAAGTCTTACGAATTGTTTTCTAACAATTTTTTCTAACAATTCGTAAGACTTTAAGATTATAAAAATTGATATACGATTCGTTATCAAAGGTCCCGAAAAACCGTGAGTAATAAATTTAAAAAAATCGTTAAAATAACAAAGACCGCCATATTGGAACCGCTATTTTGAATTTTTAGAAACCGACATGGGATTCGTCATCAGCGACCCCGAAAACCCCCGAGTAACGATTTTCAAGCCAATCCAAACAAATTTTATTTATATTGTTCGCCAAATTTGATCCACCATTTTGAATTTTGATAAACTAACACCCGCTTTGGAATCAGCAGTCATAGAAACACCTAAGTTGTAACTTTCATGAGCTTACCTATTTTTTATTACGCTGTGTATGGTATAATTTGTTTGTTTGGAATCTTAGATGTGTTTTTGAGGTTAGGTTCGATACATTTAATGTTTTATATGAATTTTTAATTAAAAAGCTTATAGAATAGTTTATTTAAATTAAGGGATTTTAGGAAATTATTAATATGCGGTTAGATTCAATTTTGATAATTCAAAAGTGATCATTTTAACGATTTTAGGGTATCTTTTGAGGTTAGGGCGAAACCAGGACCCATTGGCCAAATTCTGATTGCGGATTCGGATTCAGCGCATCGAAATACATCGGAATACATATGTCTCGACCCCAGATCAAGACACTTTATTTTTTTTTGTGTGGCTGTGTTACGTAACGTTAATTTTGACTCCCCCTCCCCCATGTAACACACTGTTGCACACATTAGCGCCATTTTTTTGCTTATTGTAACAAATAGCTTGACCCCCTTCCTCCAAAAAGCGTTACGTAATATATAGAAGATCTCTAACTAGAATATTCAATTCCTTTAATTTTAAATAGGTATTTGATAATAAATTATAATTTTTATTCTTTGTTACTATTTTCAATTACATAAAGTTTTCCTTCTACATTTATTTTTCCTAATTACTTTTTTAATAAATATAAATCATTAAATATATACCATTTTTCTGGTTTTAATTATCTGAGGCTGAATTAGAATTTATGTTCATTGTTATTACTGTTAATAATATTAAGAAACGTTTTTTGTTTATTTAACTTTCTTAAAAATAGTTTTTTTAAATTCATTTTTTTACTTATTATACTTCTAAACTTTTCACTTAAAAAAAAAGAAAGAGACAGTTTAAATTTGTAAGCTAGCGTCAAATAATTGTCCAACTGCAGTGCCATCTACAACATGACTTTTTTCTTGCTAGCATGCTTTTCTCATATTTATGTTCAATGCTTCTGAATTCGAGTGTCATCGATTGTTTCGATATTAGATACTCTCCATGACTTCATGCTTTTTTTAGTTGGATTGGTGCTAGTGGGTTTTTGAGGTCTCTGATTTCGAATTTGATATTATTTTTCAAAAAAATGGCGGATCCAATATAACGGAAATTTTTTTAAAAATTTATTCAATTTGTTTGAAATTGGTTACTTGGGGGTTTCTAGGGTGACTAATTACGAATCTGACATCAGTATGATAATTTTTGGTAAAGTCAAATTTAGTTAAATATCCTGACATTCGCTAGTAAATTTAATTTTTATAGTTTAACAGTCAACGGGTTAATAAAGAAAGTGCTTCTGTTGACAAATGTTTGCTCTTCCTTTTCGCGTTGACATATTGCTGACAGCAGAAATGACGGGATCGGACTTTACGAACTTTTCACTTTTAGGAAATTTTCTTCGTTTTTTGTAATTCGTGTTTGTTCACATTCAAATGTTTGTCTATCTTATCTTGGCAGGTCTTGGCAACTACTATTCACACACATTTTAAATGAGCGTATAACGAACATTTTTGTATATCAGACTTGGCAATACTCCGCAAAACTTTAAACTTATAAATCTTTATTGGAAAACTTTGCGTATCTCAATTGATTATTTTATGTAATTTTGATGTTTCCAATTGTCCGAAAGTTTTTATCATTAATTATAAACAAATACTTCTCTGAAAATACTTACTTTTTTAAGATGAATTCATTTTAGGGTTTTAAAATTAGTCAATCGGCCATTTGAATACTGTGCACTAACAAAAAAAACTGCTTTTTTCACAAAAAGTGCAATTATCGTGCGCGATCTAAATGAACGAATCAGGAAGGCATTATGACTATTAAATAATATAATAATAATATAATAATATAATAATATAATAATATTATGACTATAAAAAGGAAACTCTTACCCTTCTAATGACTTTAAACAACTCTAGGGGTACTACTACAACTATTTAAACAATACAAATTATGAAATTAAATTTTGACTTTTGGCCAACTTTTTAGATTTCTGGACCACTGTGCGATCTAAGTAATTGCAAATACGCCTGTTAAACTGGCACTAGTACACTATTAGATTATGTCCTGCAAAAATTTCTGACATTCGTAAAAGTTACCATTACTTGCCTACAAAGCACAGTATTTTTCTGCAAGTTTTTCATGCAGACTTCGCAAGTTTGCATCCAAGTTTGCAGCAAACTTGCATACAAATAAAAATGTCACCCTCTTGGCAAGTTTGCAATGAAAACTTGAGGAAAATTTGCAGCAAACTTTCTAAAATACCTAAAAAATTAAAAAAATTTTTTTTTTCAAATTTTATATATTTCGATGAACGATACCTTCCCTGTAGGGAAGGTGACTAAAATATAGTGCGCAGCTCTAGATGTCATAGTAAACTACTGCGCATACATTTAAGTTTTTGCTATTTGGCGCAAGTTTGCTACAAACTTGCCAAGTGGGTGACATTTTTATATTTATGCAAGTTTGCTGCAAACTTGCAGCAAACTTTCAGAAAATGTCTGTGCTTTGTGGGTGCTTCCCAACAATATTAATATAGCGAGTACGTCAATATAACGGAATCAGTACTGATCCAAAAATTGTCTTTGTTTCGCTTAGTTGAAGAAATTTAAAAATATTAAATATTATAAAATCTGTGTAAAATTACACTAATCGACTGAATGACAAATACAAATATCTTTGATGTCAAACAACTTTGACATCTATATTTAACATTTCTAGACCAAATCTAGACCTAGATCTCCTCTCAACTTCTTAGACGTCGAATAGATGTCGGGTAGACCTTATATTTCTCACTGGGCTGATCGTTGCAGTTAATGGGTTATGTATCTAATATATATAGCAGATGCTTTACTATTAAAAGTTATGGAAGTGCAGTGTCTGGTGCAGAATCTGAAAAATGGAAAAGTGCAATGAATGAAGAGATGAGTGAGTGCAAGTTCAATATCCCATTCATTAATGTATGGGATTGGACCAAAAAGACTATAGTGTTTTGGAATCATTGTAGAACTTTCTACAAATCCAAAGACAGAACCACCCTAGCTTAAAATTCCCGTACAGGATCTTCAAAGGATCTTTAACGGTTTCTGTACAGGATTTGTCAATCCTGTACAAGATCCCGTCCGGATCCCGTGCAGGAAATTGAAACAAGGTTTCTGTGCAGGAACCTTAACTATCAAAGTTTCATGCAAAGGTTCCTGTACAGAAACGTTGTCACTTTTGTAAATTGTAGGTTCTTAATTGTAAAGGATCATGAATAAATTTATTTACTTTTTTAACATCCTGCGCAGTAGTTTTCTATGTACATGATTCCTGTACATGATCCTGCAAGTGTTCCTATACAAGAACCTTTATATGAATAGAATACATGAAACTTTGATAGCTATTGTTCCTGTACCGGAACCTTGTCCCAATTTCCTGTACAGGAAATGTACAGTTCCTGTGCAGAAACCGTTAGGGACCTTTGAGTATCCTGTATGGGAATTTTAAACTGGACTAGTAGGCAATTTTGGAAAGAATTACTGACATACGCAAAAAATTTGTAACTCCTCATGTGTTCTTTGTTTATTCGACTGGTATCATAGTGAAACAATATTTTCAACGCGGATAGAATATTCGAGAGTATTAATTATAATTTCCAAAACTAACGAAACTCATCAATACAATGTTGATATTTAGTCTTTTATTTATAATATTATATATTTTAAGAAGTTTCTTAGTGTAATTAACAGATGAACAACACATGTAAAGTGTAAGGTATTTTTGACTAAGAATGTTTTACTTCACATCAAAATCAAGTCAATGATTTGCATAATAATAGATTGACATCAAAGTATACGCGCTGATATCCAGAAGTCAGTTGAACACCGTAATGAGGAAATTTTTGTTTTTATCATACAATTGTAACTCCAAATGAACATCAAGATACATCCGGATGTGTAGGAAACAGTAAATCCTCTGAAGTTGAGGTTAAACTGACTCTTAGGCATTCTGGTCTAGCTTGGTGTTAGTCTAGAACTATGATTACACAGGTCCACAAAAAAAATCGATGAAAGGTTCCTTTGACCAAACATGGTGTATTATATGTATTTTGGGTCGCTGAAACCGAATCTGAAGTCCGTTTGGCTCCATCACGTCAGGATTTTTTCCTAACCTCAAAATACATGTCGGATTTTGCATGACAAAAAAATTTTAAAATATTAACGGATTTAGCTTAATTTTGGGATACAGGGGTTTTGAGGGATCCCTGATTACGAAATTAAAGGCAAATTTTCAAAATACAAAATGGCGGATCCAATATGGTGGTCAAAATTTTCAAAAAATTCTTCAATTTTCAAGAAATTCTTCAATTTTTATAAAATGTTGTATCGAGGGATTTTTGAGGTTACTGATTACGGAATTAAAGGTAAATTTTCAAAATAAAAAATGGCGGTCAGAAAAAAATTCTTGAATTTTCATAAAACTTTGTACCGAGGGGTTTTTGGGGTCGCTGATCACTTATTTAAAGTCAGATTTTCAAAATACAAAATAGCAAATCCAATATGGCTGTCGGATTTTTACAAAACTTAGTATCTGTGAGTTTTTGAGCTCGCTAACTATGATTTTAAAATCAGATCACCCAGCAATGTAGAGCTGCGGTTGCTTGATGACGACGCCTGCGGGCCCGCTTTCTTACCCTGTCCAGTAGGGTGTCCCAAAAAAATAAAAAGTTTTTTTTTATTGGGTCTCATCCCCTAAAAATCTTTTAATTTGTGTAAAAATAAGAACACAATATTTGGAAATAAAAAATTTTAATATTAACCCGTGGTTCAGAGCCTTTGGACCATAAAAACGTTAAAAATTTAGTGTTTTTTCATTTTTAACATGAATATAAATGTAAAAATATAATGATTAGGGTGTCATTGTAAAGATAATTAAATTACCTTTCGATCCATTTGTCATAGTATAAGATTTAATGAAAATTAAGAGTGTTACAGTTGATTAAAGATCAAATTTCATGAAAATTTTGATGATTTTTAGACACTTAAGTAACTAGTACTTTCTTCACATTAAACAGTAAAAAATATTTAGATTTTAATTTTTTTATTGAGAGTCTGTAACATTACAAAAATCCGTAATTTAATCGTCGATTAAATTCGTCTCAAAATCCGTTTCCCGATTTTGAGATGAATTCGATCGACTTTTACGAAGTTCTCCGCCATTTTGAAATTTGAAAAACTGACATTGGACTCTAAATCAGCGACTTCAGTATTTTTTTATCACTGATTTTAGTAAGTTTAGTGGTTATATCTAAATTTATTGTTTCAATTTTTGCTCTAAATGTTGAAGGAATGATAAGAATAAAAAAAATAGTTTCGTTCACTAAATCTAGTGTATAATTGTCATTTTCAATCAAATCGAGGTCCACAAGGGCTAAAAATTTTCGTAATGTTACAGACTCTCAATAAAAAAATTAAAACCTAAATATTTTTTACTGTTTAATGTAAAAAAAGTACAAATTACTTGAGTGTCTAAAAAATAAAAATCATCAAAATTTTCATGAAATTTAATCTTTAATCGACTGTAACACTCTTAATTTTCATTGAATCTTATACTATGACATATGGATCAAAAGGTAATTTAATTATCTTTACAATGACACCCTATTCATTATATTTTGACATTTATATTTATGTTAAAAATGAAAAAACACTACATTTTTAGCGTTCTTATGGTTCAAAGGCTCTGAACCACGGGTTAATATTAAAATTTTTTATTTCCAAATATTGTGTTCTTATTTTTACACAATTTGAAAGAATTTTAGGGGATGAGACCCAATAAAAAAAAACTTTTTATTTTTTTGGGACACCCTACTGTCCAGCCACCGATACTGGGGTTCCGACTCCCTGCATCGTACTTTTTTTTCGTGTGCCTACCATGACGGCGTAAAGGTGATTCTAAAATGGGACTAGTGTCACGTACACGTACAACTAAATCCATTGCAGACTCACCTTAAGGATCGTGATCCAGGAACTCTGACGGATCACGGTACAACTCCGTTGCCCGTTGTCACCACGTGGAGGTGCCCTGGAAGCAGGAACACGATATAATTTGTGGGCAGCGGCCCTAAAAACTTCTAGATACCAAGTTTTGTGAACATTAAAGGAATTGTTATACATACGACAGCCATATTGAATTTTCTATTTTGTATTTTGATAATCTGACTTTAAATAAGTGATCAGCGACCCCAAAAACCCCTCGGTACCAAGTTTTATGAAAATTCAAGAATTTTTTTTGACCGCCATTTTGTATTTTGAAAATTTACCTTTAATTTCGTAATCAGTGACCTCAAAAATCCCTCGATACAAAATTTTATAAAATTTAAACAATTTCTTGAAAATCGAAGAATTTTTTGAAAATTCAAGAGTTTTTTGAAAATTTTTACCGCCATATTGGATCCGCCATTTTGTATTTTAAAAATTTGCCTTTAATTTCGTAATCAGGGACCCCACAAAATTCCTCTATCCCAAAACTAAGCTAAATCCGTTAATATTTTAAAATTTTTTTCTATCACGCAAAATTCGACATGTATTTTGAGGTTAGGAAAAAATCCTGACGTGATGGAGCCAAACGGACTTCAGATTCGGTTTCAGCGGCCTAAAATACATATAATACACCATGATTGGTCAAAGGAACCTTTCATCGATTTTTTTTGTGGACCTGTGTTATTCGAAGGAAACCAAAATTCCCTGAAGATGATGTTCAACTGACTCTCGGACTTTCGGGGTATCTTACTATCTTGGTGACAAAACGAAGATCAGTTTCTAATGTCCCTGGTGAATCAAAATTCATCGAATTTTGACAAATCGTTGTCTTGGTTTTGATTTGAAGTAAAATTTTATTCATTATTAAAAATAACACCAAAATAGATTATTTTAATCCTATAGATGGATTAAAGTGTTGCATGTTATTTTAATCCATTTTGGTGTTCAAATAACACCTCACTATTCACTGTGAAGTGAACAACTTGTTATCCTGGATTAAAAAAATAAAAAATTGTTTATACTCCTGCCCTATTGGCCTTACGCACTTCGACAAGAGTCCCCGAGAAATACTTTTTTTGGATTAAGCATAACCATTCTACATAAATTTTCTATATATTAACCTAATTTGCGTCTACAGCCGACTTTTATTAGGAGTACTCGCATTGCGCCTGGACCATCCGTCAATGGGTTTTTTCGCCAGAGAAGAGGGAAACTGTAGAAAACCTCTCCTGAGTACAACCGGTTTATCGACAGTCGAGTTCTAATGGTGTGTACCGGACAATAATCGATGGTGCACATCATTATACCTCGACGTCAAACCTCCCGTTCAGATTGTCTCACGTGCCGGAAAAATACCAAGCCAAGTGGGCGCGAACCAAAGATACTTATACCCTTGGTCCTTAAACGACCGCCAACGCCAGCCATCTATCCGACTGAGCTAATCTGTCGGTTGTTATCCTGGATTATAATTTGTTAAACTATAAGCTGTTTTTTAGAAATTACTTAACTTCATATGAATCTAAATTTGTATTATTCTAAAATAAAAAATTTCAATTTAACTATTTTTGGCACATTTAAAAAAATTTTATAAAAGCATTTTACTTGTTTTGTTAGTTTAATTAAATACATGTGCCTTTGTTTCAAATAAATTATAAAAAACTGTCTTTTTACATACCTTTCTGTACTTTGCAATTAAATTTCCCTGCGGATCCCAAACAGTGGCGGTATTATACAATTTATCACCTTCTCTTTCAGGAATTGTACCGCCAATGATATAAATTTTATTCCTTTTAGCAGCTTCTGATAATGCATTACTTGTTTCACCGTTGGGAATTGTTTCCGCATATTTTGGAAAGTGTGCTAATTATTTAAAAATAACAATACAATTTATGTAGAAACATGATCAAAATCTTTACTAAACAATAAAAATTTAATAATATTAAAAAAATATATTTAGCAAGTAATTTTATTTAAATTTACCTGCTCCATACGAAGAATTAAAACATTCTGGCAAAGTGACAATATCAGCACCCTTTTTGTTTGCTTCCTCAATAAATGAAATTGCTCTTCTTACATTTTCAGGCTTTTCATTTACAACTGCAAGTTGAACTAGTGCTAAGCGTAATTCTAATTCTAATTCTAATTTTAATTCTGTAAAAAGAATCTTAATTAAATACCTAATAGAAACTATTTAAAGAAAAGTAACAAATAAAGATTGAAAAGATAATTGGTAGAAATATTTTAACACAATCAAGTATCATACGAATCCATCAATTTTTAAAAAAGATTTCTCGGTTTTCTAGAATTCAGGTTTAAAGATGGACTTAAATTTTGACTCGAGTATCCACAAAGAAATGAAACATTGTGGGCAATATTCCATTTTTTATTTCTACAGTGTAATCTCAACAAACGGTGCAGTCTTGATTGTTTTGCCTTTAAAAAAATAGGTAGCGTATACTTGATTCAAACATAATTTTTCTGAGTATACAAAAATTAGTATGTGTACGGTTTTATTAATTTTCTTAATTAAATAACAGTAATTTTTTAACCGTAAAATCATGTTATAAATATATATGTTAGGCTCAAAAGCCGAAAACGGCCAATGGCCGGAAAAAACAGCCAAACCTAGTTTTGGCAAGTGCAGTTTTGCCAAAACTAGGTTTGGACGTTTCACTTCGGCCATTGGCCGTTTTAAATTGACAAATCTAGTTTTGGCAAATCGACATTTGCCAAAACTAGTTTTGGCAATTTAAATTTGTCCAAAACTAGTTTTGTCAATTTAAATTTTGCCAAAACTAGTTTTGTCAATTTGTCATTTGCCAAAACTGGTTTTGTCAATTTGACATTTGGCAAAACTAGGTGAGGCATTTCAAATTGTGAGAAATTGAAAGAAAGAAAGAATAGAAAAAGAAAGACCGCCGTATTAATAGGAAATTTGTTTAGAATTAGCATGTACTTATTGTTGCTATTTTGAAAACTTAAATTATTTTTTCTATGTTTGGGGAGTTTGTTATTAATTTATATAAACAATTATTAAAAAATGTTTGTCATTACTTGTATGTTTTTTATTTTGATACTGTAATCCACGGTAAAGAAAATAAGCCTAACTTGATAAAAAAATATTAATATTAAAAAAAGTTACAAGGGTTTTTCTAAGTTAAACTTTAACTGCTGTTTTCTCGAAAACTTGTTTTCGCACGTAAGGTCCCTTTTCATAGACCAGGTCACATATTGTTTCTGTATTGAATAATTGTGTGTATGAAATAAGAAATCGTCAACAAGGTAAATTAGCCTGTGTAAAGATAAATTAGTCTGTGTAAAAATAAATAAGTGTTAAAAAAGTTTTTTTAATTAACTTTTATGTGCAAAATATCAATGGATTTTTGTTAGAGAAATTTCATCTTATTGTAAATAGTATTAATCAATGACACATTTTTAAATAAATATATTCCTATTGTATAACGAAGCGGTCTTTCTCACAATTTGAAATGCCTCACCTAGTTTTGTCAAATGTCAAATTGACAAAACTAGTTTTGGCAAATGTCGATTTGCCAAAACTATTTTTGTCAATTTAAAACGGCCAATGGCCGAAGTGAAACGTCCAAACCTAGTTTTGGCAAAATTGCACTTGCCAAAACTAGGTTTGGCTGTTTTTTCCGGCCATTGGCCGTTTTCGGCTTTTGAGCCTAACATATATATAGTTTCACGTACTTGGCATTATAGGTTTTGTTGTATTAATTTGCTTCGCAAAATCGCACTGCACTTATTTAATTGCGACTCGTCGTTAGAAACGTTTTCATTGTATGCTATTATATTAAATTATCACGTGATATTAGGTCAGGAAGTTTACTTTATAAGAAAGATAACGGTACTTTATAAAAAATCAAACATATATGATGATGTAAGGAAAGTCAGTGTTATATTTATTAAAAAAATTTTGTAAGAAAAGTGAGGTTTTAACTAATGAGGATTGCTGAACTCTTCAGACAATATATTAAAAAATACAAATATCACGAAGAAAATCATAAAAAAATACAATAATTATATTACATCAAGACAAAACTTTAGATGATCTTTTGAAATAAAATTAATGTTGCACTGTAATCTTTCTGCAATATTTTACCATGCTTGCAGAAAAAAATTTCTTTTTTTATTGCAAACAATTTGTTGTAATCCAGAAGGTTGAAATAAAATTCCCCAAATTGCCTCAACTGGACCATCATATCTATTTTCTTCATAATGATTTTATTTCATTATGATTAACAGTTACCTCACATTTCACATTTTTAATAATAATGGATGCAGCATCATGTCCCTTGAAAATATATTTATATAAAGATTTAGCAGATCGATCAGTTCTTTTCATGTTCACTTTTTAATTGAGCTTGATTATTTGCAAAAATTCTTAATTTATCTTTTTTAATTTTTACGTAATTTTCAACTATTTGATGAAAGAAAATTTCCATGTAAAAATTGACTTGGCAGGGAGCTCTTCCCCACTTTGACAATAATTTAGCGAAAAAGTGATTTTAAAAAATAAATAATGTGGAGTAAATAACATTGCCCAATGACTGTGGGCATTGTCGACATTACCCGGGCATAGTCGATGTTCACACTCGCACAATTTCATTAGCTCTACACGGAAAAACCTTTAAGCAGTCTGCTCACCCGAAACTTATGCGTCAGCGCCACCACTAAACTTGTTCATCTGCACTCCCAAACTGGGTGACCAACGTACCCAGTTGTAATTTTCTAAACTTTTTGGGAAGTTTGTCTATCGAAAACGGTAATGCTACGCACCCAGTGGCGGGCGATCAGACTTTCCATGCAGTGAGAAGCGAAATTTTGTGACAGTGGGAAGGCAGACTTTTCAAAGGTTTTTCCGTGTAATTTTTGTTTTGCAGATATATTATTTAATAGAGATTTCGTTAGCCTGAAAAAACATTTGACATTATTTACATTTGTCCAATTAGTTGTTTGGACTAATTTTCGATTTTCCGATATTTCATCTGATATAATTCCTATTTTTCTAAAACATTAATTAAAAATTTTTTTATTCGAAATGTTTTTTAACCTAAATATCAATTGAGGAGCTGGATCGAAGAACCGGCTCTTCGCTCGAACTCACGCAGAAGATAGTCCCTTCGTCAGTTATGTCATGAAAATTTAAAACTCAAAAAAAAAATATTTAAAAATTATGACGTTGTAGAGGAGAAAAAAATACATCTTTTTTCTATTTACAATTTTTTTCTAGAATGCAAGTTATTAATACTAAAAAATAATAACTAAAAAATTTTTTTTCTGAAAAATTAATTACCTTTTGATAAATATATCGTCATTTCTCAGTCAAATATTAATGAAATGAACCGATTTTTTTAGGCTTGCACAATATACCTTACCGAAGCCCACAGGCCAAAGTAAAGTCCAAAAAAACAAATTGTTTATTAATTATTAATTTTGAAAGATGTTATTTACAACAACAGGAATTTCAATTTTCAACGAGAAAAAGTATGCGACGAAATTTCACATTATGAAAACTTCTCGCGAGAAAGTTTTTCCTTTATTATTCAGGAAGTTTTTCCAAAAGAATTAAACCGATTCGATGAGAAATAAAGAAAATAAAAGAAAAATAGCGAAACAGTATTTTCGTTCGCAGCGAAAACCCTGTTCGGCAGCCATGTTTGTCATATGACTTGTAACGTACGCAAGCACACATTTCTATTTTACACAGCAGCGTGAGTGTGTGAGCGTGCGTAAGCTACGAGTCATATGATAAACATGGCTGCCGAACAGGGTTTTCGCTGCGAACGAAAATACTGTTTCGCTATTTTTCTTTTATTTTCTTTATTTCTCATCGAATCGGTTTAATTCTTTTTGGAAAAACTTCCTGAATAATAAAGGAAAAACTTTCTCGCGAGAAGTTTTCATAATGTGAAATTTCGTCGCATACTTTTTCTCGTTGAAAATTGAAATTCCTGTTGTTGTAAATAACATCTTTCAAAATTAATAATTATTAAACAATTTGTTTTTTTGGACTTTACTTTGGCCTGTGGGCTTCGGTAAGGTATATTGTGCAAGCCTAAAAAAATCGGTTCATTTCATTAATATTTGACTGAGAAATGACGATATATTTATCAAAAGGTAATTAATTTTTCAGAAAAAAATTTTTTAGTTTTTATTTTTTAGTATTAATAACTTGCATTCTAGAAAAAAATTGTAAATAGAAAAAAGATGTATTTTTTTCTCCTCTACAACGTCATAATTTTTAAATATTTTTTTTTTGAGTTTTAAATTTTCATGACATAACTGACGAAGGGACTATCTTCTGCGTGAGTTCGAGCGAAGAGCCGGTTCTTCGATCCAGCTCCTCAATTGCTCTAAATAATGAGTTATAATTTTCATTTAATCGATATGTCTTTCGTTATAATTACCATTGTCTCGAATAATTATTTACCAGTATTTACTTTTTACAGAATTGTCATATAAACTGTATCCTATTTGCTCTAATGTTTATTTAACAGAAATTCACTTACCTCGAAGTAGCATTCAGCCGAATGTTTATTTGTCAGAATAAAAGATTATTTGACATAATTTTCGTTTTGCCGAAACTTTATTTCACCTAATTTTAAATTGTTATATTAATTGTTTAACATAAATCTATGTCTACCTTATTTTTATGTGACATATTGTTCTTTTATTCGAATTGTCAAATCGTCGAATGCTCAGAACATCGAATTGTCAGTTCGTCGAATGCTCAACCCATGTAGAAATTTCCCTACTTGTCCCTACCAAATGTTGGATTCTGATTAGAACCATCCTAGAAAATCTAGTCTAGAAAAATCTGTCAAGAACCTCGCTAGATTCTGACTAGAATCTCTAGTCTACAAAAACTAATCGGTTTCCAATCAAATTCTAGTTAAAGAATTATTATTACTAATTTTGTTTTATAAAGAATTATTATTAATTGATATTATTATTTATTATTTTAATAATTTAAATAATTTAATAACTTTATAATTTTTTAATTTAAATTATTATTAGATTATAAAGAATTATTATTAATTGAAATTATTAGATAATTCAGACTAGAAAAACTCACTAGGACCTTATTGATTTCCAACTAGCGACAAACTAGTGTACAAGTAATATACATAAATTGTCTTTCTATAAATAAATATTTTTATGAATTGTCAAAAACATTTTAAAGTATAATTGCACTTACATATATTTTTAAATAATTATTTTTACGGATAATATTACAATATTTAGGTAATAAAAATTAATTATACTCACATAATTAATATTTATTTGTGTCTTATTCTTTTAATTTACTTATTAAATAAAAGATTTTTATTTAATAAAATTGTTTTATTGGAATTTTATGTAAGAATGTTCTACAATATTAAAAATTGGGTTTCAAATATGTTAAAAAATGAAATAATTAAATAATATGCAAAATTTTTTAAAAAATAATGCTGGTAAAAATTATTTAACTAGAATTTGATTGGAACCCGACTAGTTTTTCTAGACTAGAGATTCTAGTTAGAATCTAGCGAGAGCCCTACTAGAGATAGGGGCAAATGGTGAATTGCTGCACGGGATGTTATTTAAGCGGAGGTGCTTCCAAGCTATCACGGCCGGGAGGTATGTGTATCCGACTGGAGTCCCCAAGGTCCAAGGTTCGATCCCCCATGGGCACGAGATTTTTCAACTCAAGTTTCAGGTTTTTCGTGTACAACATTCATTAATAACGTTAATATGAATGAAGAATTCAATTATAAATAGGTTAAGTTGAAAAATAATAATTTTTAAAAGTCAACTAGAAAATTCTAGTCGGGGCCCTATCAACACACAGCTAGTTTTAATACTAGTTCCCGACTAGATATTCTAGCCTGTACCCCATCTGCCGACCGTTATGAAAGTAGTTGGGTTCTAACGATTTTCTCTAATCAGTTCCCCACTACAGATAGGGAATTCTGGCTAGGACCCCATAAAATTCCAATCTCAATTTCTGCATGGGTAGTCGAAACACCATCTGTTCGAATTGTCTAAATTTAGAATCGTCAAGTAGTAAAATGTTAAAGTAGTCGAATGTTATTATTATTAGTTTATTTGTCTTGAACCACAGGTTAATACAAAAGAGTTACATTGAGTTAAATCTCCTTTAATCTATTTTTTAAATACATTTTTAACGAAAAAAGTTAATGCTTTAACATTTTCTGCTTAAGGAAAATTTAATAAGTCGATACAAAAGTCTTTTATTATCGAAGTGTCTTTGCTTGCACAAATAAATTGTTTCCTAATATCTCTGTATAAATCACATTCTATCAACATTATGATACAATTCTCTCCCTCTCAACTCGGGATCTCCACAACAATAACCGGTATTTAATTTCAAAACTTTATTTTTCAGTATAATTCTAGTTCTATAGTTGTTGATTAGTCGAATCTGAGCGAACACTTTTAAAAACATTAGTGGAACTTTTAATCTTAAATAATTTTGTGCTCCCTCTCTTAGAGTAAGTTGCGGTAGGAGTTGGTGAGATCTCGAGTTTGACAGGGAGTTTACATCTTCTGCTCGGAGATAGGTTTCATATTTTTTCGTTAATCTTTCTTTATTGTCTATTATAAACTGTAAATCCCAAGAAATTGTTTCTCCAATAGTTTCTAACATATTTTCAACTTGTTTGCACCAATTATATTTGGGAGTTGAGTTTGAAGATTTCGCTAATTTAATAAGTCTTAGTAGACATATTTTAGGGAGTCTATGGTCTTTCATTTTCAAAATTTTCT